CCGGCACCTATTCCCTATTTATCGGCTATGATTCTAATTCCCCTTCTTACTCACTGTTAAGTGTCCACGGCGGTCCGCTGATCCTTGTGTTAACCGCGTGCCTCGGTGCGTCGCACGGACGTCCGGGTCGCTGGCTCGAGCTGCGTCTGGTCGCCTGGCGCTGGAGTAAGAGAGCGATTTCCCCTCTGCGCTCCTCTATTTATCCTCCCTACCTCCCAAAGGGGATGCTGCGCTGAACAATGGGCTCGTGCACCCCAAGCCCGCGCACGGCAGTCCCCAGGCGCTGTTGATATGCTAATCAGTGTGCTGCGTGCAAGGCGTAAATCCTAATTACTCCCTTACCCTTCCTACCAATGGGGCTTGCGCGCTCAAGCGCAATTATCCCAACCCTCCATGACTATGCGCAACAGCCCCTGTGACCCCGCTATTCATGCTGTCCCGTGCCTCCCCTGCTCGCCCCGTCGACCCGTGGGAGTGTGTGTGGGGGGAAATGCGCCTCAACCGCGGTGGCCGAATGCCCCACGCCACGACCTACCATATTAAGGCCGGCCGCAGCGCCGCGGTGCCACGTAGCACGGGGAGGTCATCCAATTCCCTGATCGCCGGAAACCGTGAGAATTAATCCCGATAAGGGTCTCTCGGATAAAAACCGGTCGATCAGGTGACCTTCCCTTCCAGCTCTATGGGGGGGGGGGGAATGCGTGCGGGTGTGTGCTTATGTGGGGCGGGTGATGGGGGGCAGTGCGGTGGGGGAAGCCGGGCGGCTCCCTGGTTCGGCAGAGCGGCCCCGTCGTTGTGGCACCACAGTTTCTGTTTTTTTGTGTTTAAAATGTGTTTACTAAATGAAATTGGAATACATATCCCAAAGTAAAAAGTTATTGTATTTACTGTACCGACCGTACTTACCACTCCAATCTCGAGGGGATGATGTCCGTAACTACGCTCTTGTTTCAACACGATGGCCGGACTGATGCGAACGTCGGATTACACGCACTTTTCGCCGGATCTGTTTTTTGTGACTGTAGTTATTAACCACGAAAAATATATATCGTGCGGTATTTTAATTGTTGTATCTAGTGTATAATGTACTGCAAATATACATTTGACCCTGATATCGAGCGTAGCTACTTTTTTCTTTTTGTCACGCACATGGTGCCTGCCGTTCGCCGGACTGGTACAAACTTTGAAGCGTTTTTTTTTTACCGGATCGGCCTGGGACCGCCGGATAATGTTGGAAGCCGAATAATTGCGCGCTGGATAATATCATTAATCGATGATCAACTTGTACTTTGTTCAGCCGAGTGATGAACTCAAGATACCAGGATGAGACTAATTTGCAAGAGTGACCGCAGGGGGGTGGGGGGGAGGTCACCAAAATAACAAAAGCAAATCAAATCAAGTCGCAACAAAATGGAATAAATAGAAAGCAGTGCAGCCTACAAGACCCACTCACTTGCCACGCGCACCACCCTCCGTGAACTATATCGCGCGTGTCATGTTACACATATTAGCCTGTCAAGTGTCATTACTTTTTTTTATTGTAAACTGATATCAATATCATGCGTGTACTTTCAAGATGGGCCATTAACCGACACGTTTATTGGCTATTGGCTTTCCAGATCGACACAATCAAGGAGCGATTGTTTCAGCGAGTAAATCCATGGACCGGGTTCGAATGTCCGGCACGCAAGTGCCCGGAACGAACCCGGGACGGGTTTATGTTTAGACCCCCCAAAAATGGCCAAAGACATTCGTTAATAACCCTGCCTTCTCAAGAAGGGTCATTGCCTGAAACGTAACCGATAACGTGTGTTTTCCTTTCAAGTCCACGCAGTGTCATTTACGGATGTGTTGAGAATGTATTTTTTGTTGTGTTGAGTTGTTTTGTTAATTGTGTTTGTATCACCAAATAGTTTGTCGCTCGATGTAATCTCGTGCTAATTCCGCTTGGCTCTGCGTATTACTCGACGCTATTTACACTGCGGTCAGCCGAGTTATGCAACGGAGCCCGCGTCTTTGGGCACGCCGAGGTGCGTTTGAAGGCAGCAAATCCGGATCACAGCTGCCAATGCAAAAAACCCGTTTGAGTTGTCGGCGTCTCGTCGTCACGCGTAGTTATCTGTTGTGATCTAATGCAGAGCAGTGGTACAGAGCAGTGGTTCTCATCTGGGAATTACGCCGTACCCCTGGGGTTACGTGGCAATGTCCCAGGGTGGTACGTCAGGTGATGTATAAATGTGTGAAATTATGTCATACATGAGAGTCATTTGTGAATAATCATGGATGAATCTGTCAATATAAAATAACTACGATGAAAGTAAAAATTCATTTGGTAACCTGGAACAATTTCTAAACTCATTGACCGTAAACAATGCGATTTGCAAGAGTAAGCAGCGAGCACGAACAAATTGTGTCATGCATGCAGTGCGTCCATTGAATTCGCTTTTTATTCACTGTCTAGTTAGGATATCTCACAACATTGACAATCAGTTAAAATAAAGATGCTCATTCATACATTTATTTATCAGGACCATGTTGGGTCAGGCAAGGCGGTACTCGTTTGAGAAAAAATTCAACAAGGGGTACATTAGCCAGAAAATGGTTGAGAACCACTGGTGTAGAGAAAGGCTCACGAAAGTTGATATCACAGAGCTAGGATCTATTACAACACAGTAAACAATGTCAATCGCATGACTGTCAAAGTCATATTTAAATTCTGAAATGATTTCGTGATGCTGTAATAAAGTGCAGTCGCCAAACACGTACGATACACGTATTCTATCTATTTGTTTCTCTGTGTGTGCTACGAAGGACCATCGCCTGGAACGTCGTATATTATGTATATGTTTTTAATTTTAAGGCCACGGTGTTTTTGACGAATTTGGTGAGTTATACTGTTGAATTCTAGGTTGGAATTTCAGAACTAAAAATGGAATGTGACGAGTGTTTGCCCATCAACTCAGCTTGGCAATCATCCCGCAGTTGATTGACAAATGACATGGATATTATTGTCCTACAAACTGTAACCACCCCCGACGATTCGATGGCTTTGTCGATAATGGCAACTCAAAACATCTTGGCGGCTGTGAGATCCACGCTGAAGTACTGTGCATGGTAAACCCATTGAAAACGACGCGTGCCCAACGATGCACGGACATTGTTGTCAATTCACCGCTGGCACATGACCCCGTGGGTCGTGGGGGTTATTTGACCGTACAGAACTTCGCCATGCTGGTGAGTGAGAGGGAGCAATGGATTAAGATACACCACAAGGGAATTTGCTCTACCTGCCGCCTCCTGCTCCTGCCCCAATCACGTAGCTCCCTCCGTAAGCGCCATGGAAACCAGTTTGGGAGCTGTGGTTGTTACCCACCCATCCGACCAAGGTGTATACAGGCTCGACCCCGCTTGGCTTTCGAGATGAGACGAGATCCGGTGCATTCCGGGTGATCGGGTCATCATCAGCAAAGCAAACGGATAACAAAAAGTCATCGATTGTTCCACACGGGATTCCATGCATGGTGTCGTGAGCTGAGATAATCGATGTGAATGCATCATAGTTCCACCCGTGATGTGCATGTTTATACAGTACTATTATACTGCACACCAAGGCCGTAATTATAATATATATTGGGGGAGGGGACATATGCTCAAAATGCCCCCCCCCCCCCCCAATATATTGCTATCAAAAAAGAATTGCTATGTAAATTAAAACAATTAGCTAAATCTTGGCCACAATGTCTGGACTTGTCTTCATATACATCAATGCATAGATCTATGTTTATATGATTGTGGTTATGGTTGTACTTTATTAATCCCTAATCTCTGCCATTACATACAATGAAACAAGAAATGGTAAAAAAGTAAAAACAGAACAATGTAATACAATACACTATTAGACATTGTAATAAATAAATAAAAAATCCATCCCATGTGTTAGTGATTTTTTAAAATATTTTAGGCAGGAAATTCGTTTTAAAATGTAGATATTTTTCTGGGTTGGGATCCCCAGGCACCCTGGAAGATTTTGTCCCCCCCAATGTTGACGCTATGACCACGCCTAGCACACACCCTTAAAGGCGCAACCCTGCAACTGCCCGCTCACGCCGCCGCTGATGGAAGAGGGCTCCACTAGAGGGAGCTTTTGAGAACCCCTCTAGAGGCTACTTTGATGAATTATCCCACGCGACCTGCCGATGGATCGTGGTGTTGTCCCGTGTGCCGACTCGCTACTCCACTCCTTCATCGTGACAGAGGGTCCCTTTCTCTCCCGTAATCCGCATCACGATCTATCATACAGCTGTAGTTGGTTTAATCCGGATGAACTGCAAGATAACTACTGCACCGTGATCCGGATAGTGTCCACTGGGCCATGAGAGCAATGGTTTTCCAACCTGATGACGGACGCTTGTGTTGTGCCCGAAACGTCGTGATTTATTTTTATTTTATACCTACGTGACTTTACCGAAAGAACCAAAGAGGATGGATTTTTGCAGTCACGAAAGCTTCAAATCAAGATTGAGAGCAGTGTTCTTCATTGGCCCTGGTGGCCTTTAGTGCGGCCCCCCGACAATCCACAAATAGTGAAAACACCACCCCATCATAATCATCATCGTGCTGCTGTCAAACCCAGCAATTGTTTCAAATGCCTGGCAGCCCTCGCGTGCCTGTGAAAGTGGGCCCTCCCCTGAAAATTCGTGAAGAACACCGCTCTGTTTCGATTTAAAGCTTTCGTGACTGCAGGGCTTCATCTTCTTGGTTCTTTCGGTAGTCACGTAGAAGGGAAGTAATAAAATAATAAAAATAAAACATAATAAAAAATATAATAATAAATAATAATATTATGTTTTATTTTTATTATTTTATTACTTCCCTTCCACGTGACTTTACCGAAAGAACCAAGAAGATGAACACCGCTCTGCAGAGAGAGAGAGTGAGTGCAGAGAGAGAGAGCTGACGGGGCTTGGAGAGGATCGAGGTTGCTGAGTGAATGTACGACACAGGGGGCGCCACGGAGTGAAGCTGGGACCACAAGAGAGAGAGGAGGCACCGCTGTTCGAGGCTCCGTCGGAACGAACGGAGCTTTGTTAGCCCTGTGCGAAGTGGAGGCATTGCAGAGGCGAGAGGGGTGGGGTTGACGGAGGAGGAGGAGGCAGGAGCGGGCAAGAACGACAACGAGGAAGGAGGAAGACATACCACCGACCTTTGCGATCGCAACAAGCATCATCCCATCATCATCATCAGCCAAAGCAATCGGGTCAGAGGGACCCCGACGCAGAATCATGGATGACGTGCCGAGCGCGATGAAGATCTCGATCTCGCTGAAGACACACCCGTCCGACGGCGCCGTCTTCTTCAAAGTGGACGGGCAGCGCTTCAATCAGACGCGCACCATCAAGCTCCTCATCGGGGCCAAGTATAAGGTGGCGGTGCTCATCAAACCCGGCACCGTGAGGACGAGGTGAGCTCGGCGCATTGCTGGGGGGGGGGGGGGGGGGGCGCCGTCTTTCATTGGTGTCGGCATCAGCACCCGTCACCATCAGCAGCAGCACCACCATCAGCACCATCACCACCATCAGCAATACCACCACCATCAGCACCACCACCATCAGCACCACCACCATAATTAGCACCACCACCATCATCAGCACCACCACCGCCACCACCATCATCAGCACCGCTACCGCCATCATCATCAGCACCACCACCACCACTACCATCAGCAGCATCAGCAGCACCACCATCAGCAACACCATTATCAGCACCACCACCATCATCAGCACCACCATCAGCACCACTATCACCATCGGCACCACCACCACCAGCACCACCACCACCGTCATTAGCACCACCATCAGCATCACTATCATCATCAGCACCACCACCACCAGCAGCACCACCACCACCGTCATTAGCACCATCACCACCACCACCGCCATCATCAGCACCAGCACCACCATCGCCATCATCACCATCAGCACCATCATCATCAGCACCACCACCACCATCGTCAGTGCGCACACTGTATTCGGGGCGTGTGTGCTACTGGTAGAGCCGGGATTGATGTTCGCCGATGGTGGTGACCATGGTGGTGGTGATAGATTGAGACTGGTGATATGGTGGTGGTGAAAGTTGTGGTATGATAAAGGTTGATGATTATGGTGATAATTGCGTGTTATGTTCGAGCCCCATCATGATCATGCTGGAGATGATGATGGTGGTGGTGGCGGTGTGATGTTGACGTTATGATGTATATTACTACAACAGTACTATGATAGTACACGCTTACACATCCGGCATTGATGCTGCATGCTGATGATGGTGGTGGTGGTCGTAGTGGTGATGCTACTTCTTCTGTCGATGACAATGACATTCTTATGTTAATTAAGATGTTGCTGATAACGGCGACGTTTCTAATGATTGCTGCCGCTGCCGACGATGATAACGGTGCCGCTGATAATGACAGTGCTGCTGATGATAATGACAGTGCTGATGATGATGGTGGTGGTGGCCTTTACGGAGAGGGCATGTGCCGTGCAGAATGATGATGTTCGACAGCATCCCAAATCCTTCTGTAACAAAGACACGAGGCCACCACCCCACCCCTCCGTGTAGACTACACGCGATTATTATCTTGGTAAAGTGTGCTGCTAGCGAGCGCCTCCGTCTAGAGGGCTTAATTCATGAATAGCGCGCGTTACAAATCTTGCATTGATCGATAAAGGGCGGCCAGGGCACACACCACGCCCGGCCGCCTTTGTCTCCCCATTGCTGATATTTACACACCCAACAACAACCGCCATTCGCCACTAAGTGGCGGTGACGTCACCACGACGCTTGTGCCAGGCCAGGTGCACCTTGAGGCCACGTGAAGTGTCGAACGCCCGCTGGCAGGAGGTCGCGGGGCAGAGACCCAGCAGGTGCCACGGGTTGACTGACTAAGATGATTACGCACACGCACGCACATTTAAGGCTAAGTCAACCTAGGTGGGGTGGGTGGCACCAGGACCGGTTCTGCAATTAATTATTCGCCACTGATGTTGGCCGTGAGCCGGGATCTAACTCGGGCCGCCGGGTTCGTAGCGCAGCGCAGCGCGATCCGCTACAGCTGCTCATGCACCAAAGACAAAGCCCCCCCCCCCTTCCTGTGTAGCCTCAACGGACTGTTGGGGCAAGAGCTGTTAGCGAGCAACACCTGTGAAGGCAGGGTGGGGAGGGGCTGGGTGGGGAGGGTGGGGAGGGGCTGGGTGGGGAGGGTGGGGAGGGGCTGGGTGGGGAGGGGCTGGGTGGGGAGGGTGGGGAGGGTGGGGCTGGGTGGGAGGGGTGGGGAGGGTGGGGCTGGGTGGGAGGGGTGGGGAGGGTGGGGCTGGGTGGGGAGGGTGGGGCTGGGTGGGAGGGGTGGGGAGGGTGGGGCTGGGTGGGTGGGGTGGGGAGGGTGGGGCTGGGTGAGGGGTGGGGAGGGTGGGGCTGGGTGAGGGGTGGGGAGGGTGGGGCTGGGCGAGGGGTGGGGAGGGTGGGGCTGGGTGGGTGGGGTGGGGAGGGTGGGGCTGGGTGGGTGGGGTGGGGAGGGTGAGGCTGGGTGAGGGGTGGGGAGGGTGGGACTGGGTGAGGGGTGGGGAGGGTGGGGCTGGGCGAGGGGTGGGGAGGGTGGGGCTGGGTGAGGGGTGGGAGGGGTGGGGAGGGGCTGGGTGGGGAGGGTGGGGAGTGGGAGGGGTGGGGCTGGGTGGGGCGGGGCTGGTCACCCCGTGGTGCCCTTATAAAACTCAACGTTTAATCTACTCACGCCGGCTTGTGCCCGCCCTCACAGTCGGGCATATTTGCGGAATACACCACGCCGCCGTTGACCCTGGCCATTGACCGAGCAACCCAACGTTCCTACCAGCTCCCTCCGCAGGAATGTGTTTAAATGTCACAGCGCAGGTGCAGAAGGGGCGCGGGTCCGCGTCGCTTGCCAACATCCGACCAAGATTCGCCTCGCCCGTGTCGTGCACAACAGGGGATCCCGTTTGTCAATCCACTGCTGGATGAGAGCATGTCATTTGACCATACTTCACCAGGCAAGCAGCATCATCATTGATGCTGGAGCGTGGTGACTGTGGATTTTTCTGCAATGCCCTCTGCTGACCACAACGCCGGCCCTCGGCAGCAGCCGCGACCGCAGCCTACAGCACCTGCTTGATCAGAATATGAATACAGTATTTATTTATACTGCAGGAATCCGGTGAGCTATATAGCTCTTTCGTTTTGCAGATGTTCAATATGAACGGTGTTGGATCACTGGCGGCGCTATTCAGGCGAGAAATCCAGCTTTGCTTCTGGGTTCTGTCGGGGGTGACTGTGCTGACCGATGTCAGCCATGTGTCCATGCAGTTTCTATTTATAAGACGGAGATGGGTATTATTATGTTGGTATATGGGCTGCGACGGTGGCAAGATTTTAAATAACTCGCCTGGTATGGAGGAGGTTGTGGGTTCGATCCCGACCCTGACGCCTGCTGTATATGTGGAGTTTGCGTGTCTCTCTCTCCCTGTGGTCGCGTGGATATTTCTCTCGGGGTCCTCCGGTTTTCCCCGTCCACATTCAGAATCGACATCGCGCGTTTCGGTGTATTTGGCTGCGACACATTTCCACGTGGTGATGAGCCCACTTCGCTGAACCATCATTTGTGGCAGCCAGGTCGCTTCTGAAAGAAGAGCGACACAGCTGAGTGGTGCCTTACCTGGTAAAAAAAACCAGTTTAGTCTATTTACAGACGGTGATGGGTATATGTTGGTATGTAATCCACGAATGCTTGGTATGCCTGGCCCAAAGGCCTTTGATTATGTCTATAATTTGGCATGACAATGCGGATGTTGTGGCCCAGCCCAGTTGAATGTTTTGGGTGCACCACGCACGATGGAGTGTGGCCAGAACAACAATCCCTTATTGCTGCGACCCTCACTTATTATTTAGCGCGGTCGGCAAAGCCTCAACCGAGTCTCATCAAGGGTCCTGTTACATTGTGACGTTTGGTAAAATTCCACCGAGTGTGCCGCCATGCTCGGCTTGATACTAATATGTATAATTGTCGTCTTGGTTCTTTCGGTAAAGTCACGTAGAAGGGAAGTAATAAAATAATAAAAATAAAACATAATAGAACAATTCCTCCCCTTCCAACCCAGCTTATATACATACTCCAAGCACGTGTGCTGTTTCATTCAGACGCTGTCGCCTCGACAGACCTGGTTTTCACCTGAGGACGGCTGCTTGCGTTGTGGCCGAAACGTCGTGAGAATTGTTTTATTATGTTTTATTTTTATTATTTTATTACTTCCCTTCTACGTGACTTTACCGAAAGGACCAAGAAGATGAATCCCTGCAGTCACGAAAGCTTTAAATCGAAATGTATAATTATCATTTACAGCTCTTTTGTAATCCACTTCTGCATGTGTTGGTCATGGTGGTTGTTTGACCATACTTCACCATGCCGTACTATTCGAGTTGGTGATGGGGGAGGGGCAGGTCACGTGCTCTGGACCGGTTCAGATATCGCTTGCCACTGATGGTAGCCGCGGCCAGGAATCGAACTCGGGTTGCCAAGTTCAAAGGGTTGAACGCTCACCGCTGCGTCACCGCTCCACCCCCTTAGCATGAACTCGCGTGCGACCCCAGCACTTCGGGTTATATGGGGGATCTTTGTCTTTGTTCGACGAAGTAGTTCACCATGTGGCTGGCTGATGATTACTGTGAACGTGTTCCATTCGAAGAAACTGGCTGTAAAAATGAGGCCAGTAAAACGAAACGCACTTTGTCTTCGTCTATTTCCGCGCGCTTTGCGCACAGCGGATATATCACGCGCGCCCGCTCTGCCTTTGCCATGGGCAATCGCCAACGTTTTGGAACAACCTTGCTTTTTCCCTTACCATCATAAATCTTCCGCCAAAAATATTTTGAAGCAGAATATTCGTGCTGGATATAGCCACATTTGCCAACGTGATTTGTAAAGTGAATCCTTAACAATGTATTGAGAGTTCAATTTTAATGGATTTTTTTTTTATCGAGGGACTGCGTGTGTTGTCTTGGTGTGGTCTGGGACTATTTTTGTCTATCGTTTTACTGCCCTTCCGAAGCTTGGGAATTGATGCTTGGGAATTGATGCAATTGAAACGAATACATTTTATTTATTTATTAAAGGGGGCGCCACGGTGGTGAGATGTTATCTTCCTTACCCTCGTATTCAGGAGGTCGGAGGTTCGATCCCGACCCTGACGCCTGCTGTATATTTGGAGTTTGCGTGTCTCTCTTCCCGTGGTCGCGTGGATTTTTTCCTCCGGGTCCTCCGGTTTTTCCCTCCACATGTAGAAACACGCATTGAGATTTTAATTGATTATTTTGGTGCTTTAGATGTCCCAATGATGGGTCACTTTGTTGAGCTATCATTTGTGGCCAGGTCACTTCTGAAAAATAAGTTTATACCTTATTGAGCTTTGCCTGCTAGAATGGAGTAATAGTTTCGTTTTATTTGTATGTGTTTGGGTGATTTATTTACTTTTGTGTACTTTGCACTACTATCATGTTGTGTTGTTTGTTGTAACGTTCTTACCCATATTCCTCCAGTATAAATAAATGTCCTGATTCTCAAGCAGGCAGTCGAATGCCGTGACAGCGACGTCTCCGTCTCTCTCTCGCGCTCCCTCCGCTCCCTCCGCAGGGCGATGCTGATCGGCGACTGCGAGGTGCCGCTGGAGGAGGGCGCACGTGACCTCACACAGGTCACCTACGCCGGCTACTTCGACACGGCCGCCCTCACGGCCACCAAGAGCGGGGAGCGGCAACCCACGGCCGTCAGTATCCGGGTACGCCCTGGGCAGCCGGGGGCTCCACGCCTGGCCACACGCAAGCCAATACGGTCACACGCGGGCACACTAAAAACACAACAATTTTTTAATTTTACCGGGTAAGGCCCCACTGAGCTATGTAGCTCTTTTTCAGAAGCGACCTGGCTACCACAAATGATAGCTCAACGGAATTGGCTTATCATCGTGTGGAAATTAATAGCAGCCAAATACCCTAAACGCTTGTTTCAAAATGCGAAGGGAAAAACCGGATGCCCCGGAGAAAAATCCACACGACCACGGGGAGAGCATGCAGACTCCAAATAAACAGGCATCGTCAGGGTCGGAATAGAACCCACGACCTCCTATATACCAGGCGAGGTAGTTAACATCTCGCCATCGTAGCACCCACACGGACCGGCCAGCCTGGGACAAGATTTCCACATGAGGTCCACTCTGAGACCCCCTGGACACTTCATGAGGCTCCCGCGTATCTGACGCCTGAGAGAGATGTCCTCACCCCCCCCGCCACCCTCTTCCCCCACCCTTGCCAGCCGTCTGAGCAATGAACGTACCAAAAAAAACCCCTATACTCCTTGACGTGTTGTCATCAGCTCCGACCAAATGATGCTGAACGAGATGGATGTCGTCGTATGATCGAAGCCATGCAGCGTAGATTCAGTGTGGTTCGTACTTGTGTAAAGGAGAGCCGACACAAGATTGCAGGGGGGTTCGTCTTTTAATCCTTTTCTCCCATCCACACCTGTCCCCAGCCGTCCTGATCTCGTTCCCGCCAAAAGGCCCCCTTCTTCCCGCCCGTTCTCCCCTTATATCTCCTCGATTAACCCTCCCACTAACCCTCCTATTGGTGGGAATCCTTCCCATGACACCCCTACACTTGAGTGGGGAGACTGCCAGGCAGAGGTCGCAAACGGGTTTTGATTCCTTACCCGTACCCGTACCCGGCCGCACCAGGGTCGCAAATGGGTACCCGTACCCGTACCCGGCCGGGTATGGGTAGCCGTTCCCTACCCGTACCCTACCCGAAATGAGTGACAAACGGTTACTCACCAGTGACTCACGGCCTACCCGTACCCGTACTCGGCCGCACCAGGGTCGCAAACGGCTACCCGTACCTGGCCGGGTACGGGTAGCCGGGTATCGGGTAGGGTACGGGTATCGGGTACCCGGTTGCGACCTCTGCTGCCAGGCAACACCAGGCGGTGTAGGTTTGGGCCGCGAGGTGGCTAGGAGGCAACAAAGCAGCAGCAGCAGCAGCGGATTCTTGAGTCTATCGGTGCGGAGCACTGAACGTTTTACCCCCTTGCCCGCGTGGTTTTCTACAGGGTTCTCCGCTTTCTCCCGGGATGAACAAAGGCCCTGATTGTTGTTATTCAGTTAAGCGCATATTTATTGTGCAAAGATGTAATCGCGCTCCAACAGTGCAATATTTGTGTGTGTTTTTTTTAAACGCTTGAGCAATGTGTCTTGCCACTGGAATAACATTCCGCAACAGTTACAAAATCGTAAAACATAAACATATTTAAGTAATAATGGTACTACTGGTGTAACGTCCTTTGTTTACTCACTAATGACTCACCGAGTCTCAAGACCGCTGTTAGGAGCGTGTCCTGCTCCATTTGGATGTTTTGGTCGTTACATCGATGAGTGATTGACTTCACGTGTGAGGAAACAAGGAGAGTACTTGGGAGAATACCCCCCACGATTATGAAGGGTGGTGGTGGTGGTGGGGGGGTAATGCTCAAACCTCTGCACAAATCGATTGAGGAACTGTGCTGCCATCTGCCGGCCACCTCGCATATAACAAACTCAGACAGCAGCCCGTGCCATCAATTTCGTGCGACGCGTCGATGCATTTCGAATAAAAAAAGATTGCAATTTCAATAACGCGAACACGAGTCACAAATGGCGTACAAAGTGGCGCGTCGTCGCGACGTTTCCCCGGGGGCTTCGGAGCGACGAGCGACCAGAATTAACACCATGGCTCCACAACGCTTATTCTTTATTCGTACGGCTGTCGATGTAGATGCAGAGCAATCGACTGCAATTTCGCATTCAGTTGGTCAAACCAGACAACCGCGTCGGAGTGCGTCGCTGCGATGTCTCCTTCGTATTTGTGGATCGGGCCATTGCGGCATCACACGCCAGAGGTCGCAAACGGGTTTTGATTCCTTACCCGTACCCATACCCGGCCGCACCAGGGTCGCAAATGGGTACCCGTACCCGGCCGGGTACCCGTTCCCTACCCATACCTTACCCGAAATGAGTGACAAACGGTGACTCACCAGTGACTCACGGTCTACCCGTACCCGTACCCGGCCGCACCAGGGTCGCAAACGGGTACCCGTACCCGGCCGGGTACGGATAGCCAGGTATCGGGTAGGGTACGGGTATCGGGTACCCGGTTGCGACCTCTGTCACACGCTGTACTTGGCGGTCTGTTGTGGACGACCACAAGTCGCGCGCTGCTGCAGAGTTTTTAGTTTTCAATTTGTGCGTCAAGTTTTCCGCACCTACTACTATGGTTGTGCAGCGGATGCGGTTTAGGGTGGACCATGAGCTTCGTGGAAGCGCAAACGCAGGGGCATCTTCTGCGTTGGGTCTTTCACGCCCCCCCCCCCCGCGGGGGGCATGGACACGGCTGATATTGGGAACCCCGAGGAAAGGCCTCGGTGCCCTCTCTGACGAACGGCCATTTTATGCGTATATCTCCACGACGCGTTTTCGGGTTGTCCCACGCATCGTTTGATACGACGTCCGACGTTTCGCCCCCCCCCCCCCCCCACGTGCTGGGAGCTGCCTCCTGAAAAAGCTCGCAGGATTGCGGAGCAAAACGTTGGATATCGTGCCAAACAACACGCGGCAAACACAACCCCCCCCCTTCAAAAAGCCACACGTGGGATAGCTGCAGTGCCCTTTCATCCAACCGTTTGTGTGCAGCAGCCAGCGTTGTCGGTGTGCGCGTGTGTGTGTGTGTGGGTCTGGCATGGGGAGCGGTAGTGTAGCGGTTAGCGCTACGCTGCGCTATGAACCTGGCGACCCGGGTTCCATTCCCGCTCACGGCTAACACCAGTGACGATTATCTGAACCGGTCCTGGGCCTCCCCTAGGTCGACTCAGCCTTAAATAAGTACCTGGTGCGGTGTGTAAACATCGCCACTGGGGAGACAAAGGCGGTCGGGCGTGGTGCTGGCCACCCACCCGCTCGTGTACCGTTCCGGACTTCATAGGTGCTCGCTAACAACACTTGCCCCTACAGTCTGTTAAGGCTATACGGGGGTTCTATAGATCTTTTGTCTGGCATGGGGTGGGTGTTGAAGCAGTTGTCCAGTTAAAACAAATGGCCTGGCAAAAATACCGGAGACAATTTGCCATCATTTACCGACACGTCTCGGGCAGATCCCGCTGTGCAGGATGCGTCTGGCTTCGTCTTCTTATTATTCATTTTTTGTTCCATTGAAAAAAAAATGTGTCCTGCCACGTTTGTATTTTACATAGCTGCGGTATGAGTCGGCAAACGGAGTTCGATTCCCCAGCCATGGCCAGCATCGGTTTCCCGAGTGATGTTTGAACCGGTCTTGGGTCGTCACTTCAACAACCCGCACAGACCAGGCGTGGTGAAGCATGGTCTAACAAGCCCCGTGACCGATACGGGATGATTTGACCTTCATCCAGCAGTGGAATGACAAAGCAGGCGGGGATGATAGCTGTTTAAGACGTCACTCGCCATCGATCTTAGCCCTGGCCAGGACTCAAACTCGGGGTTGCCAGGTTCTTAGCGAGGTGCATAAACCACTGCACCACCACTCCCCATAAAACAATACATTGATTTTCTTGGTTCTTTCGGTAAAGTCACGTAGAATGGAAATAATAAAATAATAAAAAAGAACCAAGAAGATGAATCCCTGCAGTCACGAAAGCTTTAAATCGAAATAAATTGATGAACAATAATGCAGTAGAAATGTTGATAATATAACATTTTTAGCTATGGAATATGATCTAGACCACAATAATGAGATGCATTAATGCCCAAACAACTAAAATCTAAATGTTCCATCTCAACCTGACTCTGGGAAGACATTTAATAGTTGAGTGACATATAATGGTCAAACGTAAATTAGCAACAATACGCCTTTCTTAAAAATTCCAAATCCTTTCATTAATAAGAGGCGGATTGATTTACGCAATCATTGCATTTCCAATGAATTTTCAACGCAATCGTTGCACTGTAGGCAACAATGATTTAGTAGCTGGCGCTGCAGAGATGCTAACTGTATTCTCGTGGGATTTAGCTGCCTTAATGCTCGAATGTGGGTCACGCTCGCATCGCCATGGTAACTTTTGGGGGGGGGCCTCCTAAGCCGTGTTTTTTCAGCTTGAAAATAAACCGGATGCTGTCAGGCGGGGTCGGTCTCTCGCCAATTCCTCGACCTACCGCTGGTAGCACAGGGCAACGCGTTCAACAAGCTCGTCGGAATGAACACAATTATTAAGAAAAAGGCGACAATTTCGGGCGGACACGGTCAACAAACGTTGTCTGACGTTTCGACTCTAAGGGGCCGTCCATAAATGACGTCACGCACCTAGGTGGGGTGGGGGGTCAGACATTTGTGACGATGTGTGACGATGGGGGGGGGGGGTTGAGAAATGTGACGTCACATCAAAAAGCGCAGCTTTAAATAAATATAGAATTGTTATAACAACACTAATTGTTATAACAACACTAATTGTTATAACAACACTCCTACAACATCAGAGTGCAGCGCCACATTAAATACGCACTACAACGGCAACAGTTTAAAGCGATTTGAAGCATGTTTTATGATTTTGGGAGGGGGGGGGGCAGAGCTTTGTGACGTCATGTTTGAGGGGGGGGTCTGACTTTTTGTGACGCCGTGTGACGAGGGGGGGGGTCAAGAATCGTCCTAAATTGCGTGACGTCATTTATGGACGCTCCCTAACGTCAAACCAACAATGGCACGACGTTGTGCATGTTTTCTT